GTTTCGGCGAATCAAAATTGCAGGGCAGCAACAGGGGGTCTACCTTTGTTAAGCATTCTCGACTGGACGTCAGGGCTGCAGCGAATGACCACTTCATTAGAAGTGTTTTGCTCTCTCGACTTGGAGTCGCGTAATACATTTATTTTTCGCATTCAATGATGTTTGTCTATGGATTTTGTTCCCACCCTTACTTCTGTTAGGGTAATCCCCGTTTGTCAGCGCTGCCATGGATATGGCCAGAAAAACAGAAAATGTAATCATACTTACCGTCATTTTCTTTTCCTAGTTATACTCCATGGCAGCACTGGGCTCCCACCCTATGGAGTTATTTAGCTTGTTACTAGACTGGGGAAGTCAGCAGGATCAGGGGCTTTTATAGAGAGGGCTAGGCCTTGTTTAACCCTTTTGGTTCCTGTCAGCTAGGGGTAATTGGATCTAAAACCCGTTTGTCAGCGCTGCCATGGAGTATAACCAGGAAAAGAAAATTACGGTAAGTATAATAAAATTTTCAGTTTTTGACTTTATATTCACTTTAACTGCACTTATATAACACATAGATGCACATTAAATTACAGTAACTTGCAAATGTCACCTCCATTTTTTTTACACCAATCGGCAGATGGTCAATGAGGCAACAGTAACCTTTATAGACACAGTCATAAAATATGTTTGAATACAAGTCATTTATTGTGTGTATGCATTCGGTTGTCTTTTCTTCACATGCTGTTTTGCTGACATTCACCTTATAATAATAATCTGTGACTGATAGAGAGGGTCAATGTGGATTTAAAACTAAAATGTTTCCAATGCATGGAATCTGTGACAATGAGCATGCTGTATTTGATAGTCTCTATAGGAATTAGGGGTGAATTAGTGATAAAATCAGTGCTTCAGCTTTTGAAAACCGTAATTGTTCAAAAGTTCAGTGCTGACAATAGTAACACTATAGCACAAGTTAATGAGACTTTAAATTCCCAGGAAGCAAGAGATGTTGGTTGATCAGCAGTGAAGAAGGCTTCAGCTGCAAAACTTGTGGGAAACCTAAGATGGCAAACATGCTTTATAGATGTGTCTTTTGATGGTGGAAACAGGAAATTAACAGGAGACTATCATTCTCCAGTTTAAAAATGTTCCCCTAAGGATTGGTGATTATGATGCTGAGATTTTTGGAGAAATTGTTTGGCTTCTAGCCTAGTGTAGTAAGGTGGCATAAGAGGCAATAGCTAGTTCCTTGTCCCAGTATCCCAAATATTTCGTTTTTCACGTGAGTAAGCAAGCATGCCATGAATTGCCCTTCATTTATACCCATAAATATAGTTACTATACACACAAGTTTTTGACACTAGTACTTTAGTGTAGAGAACTGGCTTGTTTCTGTTTGCCTCTTCCTGGCATGGGATAAGATAAGCATTCTCTTTAAGGGTTTAGTTCAGCCTTGAAAATTACTTCAGGGCTCAGATTATTTTAGAGTTTGGATCAGAGTTTTAGACATTTTTGTATGGGTTAAGATTCAATTTAGGGTTAGGTTTGGGGGTTAAGTGCTGGTGATGGTTAATTGTAAGGGTGATTGTTAAGGTGGAGGATGGTTAAGTGTCAGAGGGTGCTTTAGGTTTAGGAAAACTTTGTATGCTAAGGACAGTAAGTGGTACTTCAGGGTTTTCAGTTGTTCCTTGTGCCAAAAAGGCCAATGCTTTGTGCCACTTATTTATTTTACACCAGATCTTGTACTGCTGTAATTGTGCAGCTTGTTTAAAGTGGCCTAGAGGGGAATATAATTGAAATTTGGACCTCATTATAATTGTAAATGTTTAATACAGAAATTTAATTTTGACACAGTAGGGTAGGTAATGTTCTATGTGTTGGGTTTAAATTAAGCACTTTGAATTGCTTTTTTAGGATAACATCACTGCAATTACTGTGTTTCTCGCTCTAGTTATTGGTTTAGATTTTCTTGATATACATTTTATTTAACCAAAGCAATGGTGCTTGCGAAGTCAGAAGTCATAAAATATTTTGGTATCTCCATAAGATAACCCGCAGTGCTGAGTCGGACCTCTTAAAGCCTGTATGCATGAAAACGTGTTTGTTTAACAATATATTTATGATTTCTTCTGGATTATTTAAAGTATTAAAAAGGATTGTTACCAATAAAGCACACGCTTTTTTGATTCCCTGTAAATGGGTTAGCAGCAGAGAGTTGTCACAGTAATTTGATGGTGTGCATCTTGCAACATACTTATAAATGTCAGAAAGTCATTTTTCCAAGGTTGTGTATATATATATTACCGAATCAGTGTTCTGCACTTGTGGATAAAAAGCACAAATCTATAACAGTGCTTTGAGTACATACATGCCTTAGGCCTAGTTCTTTCCTGCCAATCCTATTTTCTATCATTGCAGTAAGACTGTAGCCGCCTTTCCATTTGGTTTGTGTTCTCCATTAACATTCTACAGGGCAAATGGATTGCCTTGGTATGTTTCATAACATTAGATTATTACTTTTTCACATCTGCTAAATAAATTGACTGCTTTCTATGTAAGCTATTGAAAGCTCTTGTGCCCCTAAGCAATCTTAGATTTTATCTAAAGAGTTTGGCCGCTGTATTTGTGGTGTATATTTCAAATTTATTTTGCCAAGCTTTTCTTGTATGATAACAGATTACAAAGAGAGTGCAGACCTGAATGTTTTGTTTTCCTTATTGTTTAAGGAAAACTTCAGCTTGAAGCAGTCACATAATGGAGGCAACACATTTTTTCCTTGATACTTCACATTCAATTCTCAATCCTATATGAACTGCGCATGGCTTTTTTATGTTTTTGAAGCATGCTGTGATTTTTTTTTTCCTAGTTTACAAAAAGATATTTAGCTCTAATGGGTCCACCTTTTTCTGCATATAGCTGTAGTACCCATTTCTATTAATTTAATTGGAAAGAGTGTTTTTAAGAGTCATAGTGTCTCCTACATAGACATAGGCTTTACAGCACAATTGAAGTATCACTTTTGTTTTACTTGTTATGCAATCAGTTTGTATAATAAGTAAAGAACATTGCATTGTTTTATCTTTTTATTATGTGTTTGTGCTAATAGTACATGAAGCTGCCCTGTGTTGACAGCATGCTGGAGAGCCAGACCACTGTTCTCACACACAGCTCAGTGGTCTTGATCTCCAGTGGTCTGACACACCCCCTGCACAGTGCTCCAATGAACAACACTCACAGTTCATGAGCAGTGCTTTTAATTAGAGCACATGCAGGGGGAATAAAACAGACACATTGCAGCTTCATGCACTGTTAAGTGCCATCATATTATTTAAAAAATGCCATATTCTTTACATATTATGCAGCCTGACTGCATAACAAGTAAACAAATGAGACTTTAGTTGGGCTAAAATGACACAGCTTAATATCAAGTGCCTGACACTTTTAGTGCATCCAGCACAAGCCCATTTATCCCTAAGGAGAATGGAAGTTTTCTGTACATAAAGCAAGGCACTACAACCCTCTTTGATATACACCACAATGTACTGAACTATTGCCTAGTTCCCATGTGCTTGACAGCCTCTGTGTACAATGTATTTTAAAGGGGGACTTCATAAATGTGATGTGCACATTATACCTGCATGATTTGCCACAAATTTACCCGAAGCTGGTTCCCCTTCATGGCGCGAAAGGTATTTAATTTATATCTTGGGCTATACTGACTAGTACATTTCTCATTACTAGTTTTTGCCAAATGAGGGCAACCAAGGATGATTGTTATTAAAAAGAACAAAGACAATTGTTGCTTAAAAGCGTAATATGTTAACCTAACATTGAAGAAGTGTTTTCATGAATGTACCCTATGTTAATATAACATCGTAGGAGTATTTTCACTAATGCACCCTAAAGTGTAGATCAAGGACCCCTTTTTGCTGCTCTGTTGAACAGCATATGCTTATCACAGTTTGCAAGTCTACTTTAAGTGCCCTGGAAAACACTTTGTTTATATAGTGAATGGGATCTGTTGTGAGAAAGGCCTTACATGCCCCATGAATGTGCATTTTTGTACAGCAGTCTTTCGTAAAAAAGATAATTCGGCATCCTGATTGTGCATGCACGGCTAGCTGACAGTCAATGCCTCCAAATAGCTTTAGAGACATAACTATATATTTATAAAAATTGACAAGTTTGGTTATTCCAGTTTATCAAAATATTGATGGATATTCTCAAAAGTGGCAAGGATGGTATTGTAAAAGCACATTTTAGTTTGAATTTGAGAAACGGTGTTTATGGTTCACAGAATATAACTATAAATGAAATCCGATTTGACAAATGTTTTGACATTTCCTGATGTTTAGCCAATAAACACACAGACTTAACATTAGGAAATACATTGCAAATAAATAGTTCAATCATATTTTTTAAGAACAAATGCCATTTTTTTTAAACATCCTGCCTTCTTTTGAGAATGGCCTTTAGAGTGCTCCTTGTCTATGTCTTTTAGTTGTAACATTTGTTGTATTTGTTTTACTTTCAGCAATGTTCATACCTTGTTCTGCAGAATTTTTAAATGATTAGTAATGTAGCCAGTAGCCTGGCTGCAAACATGCCTACTGTCAGTTCCTTTGTAGTTTGCAGGGGATGTGAATGTTGTCTCTTCGTACGGATTTGCCCAGAAAATCATAAAACAAAACACCAGTTGCAAGATTGCAAGACTGAACTCTTTATGTGATTTAAATCAACTATGTTACAATATTGGATTACAATAAACCATTGAATGATTGTTGTTTTAAGAATGTGATAAGGGTTTTTTTTTTGTGAAAGTTTGTCCAGTGGTAGTATGGGTTGACATTTCCATGGAATTTGTGATCTTGTTTCGCATGGCCTTGACTGAGTGTTAGAGGTGAAGCCCAGGCTATTTCTCTTTATCATCTGGCTGTTATTAGTATGTTCTGTTTACTTTGTAATAACAGCATGCCATGCTTCTGCTCTCATACTTGGCTTTATTCTCTGCACACTAGTCCTGAATAGCTACAGTGCTCAACCGAATTATGGCGCACCCGCTTCACCAGCAGGCACCAATCCAGCTCGACCTGGTGGATTTCCAGGGGCTAACAGCCCGGGCCCTGTCGCTGATATCTATGGAACTGCCAACCAAGATTCCGGTGTTGGTAACTACATTAGCGCAGCAAGTCCTCAACCGGGTTCTGGCTTTGGCCATGGAATTGCTGTAAGTGTCTTGTTTAATCTATATTGTGTACTGTTCATTATTTGTTGTTTTTTATAGTAAGCATTCAAATGGTGAAATGAGCCTTCCATTATAGTGGGATTATTAGCAGTCCCATAAGTTCAGGTTCCTGCATGTTGATTTCATATAGCCTGATAGCCTTTTCACTATTTAGAGTTGATTAAATTCCAAACAAGGAAACTGAAATAATTCTGTGAATTATGAACTTGTTAGACTCTGGCTTTCTTAAAACAGAACTGATAAAATCTCAGGAGCTAGGTTGCCAAGGCAGCGTAAGAAATGACCTAACTTTTTGAAGTATTTTAAAATTGAACTCAGTGGCAGTACATTTTCCTGGCTTTTTAGGATAATACACTGACTCTTAGGCTGGTTTTAAAGTGTGCATTCAATTGCTTAGAAAAGGTATTTTCCCTTCTTTCTAATTTCCTCTCTTATTGCAAAATTGTAAAACTGAATGTTTTTAAGGTTTCAACTAAAATCTGATATTGGAGTCTCTGAACATAAAACTCTTTTAAATTTAAAGACATTTAACAACTAACACTGTGTTAATACATATTTGTCCCAGGTAAGATTATAAATGAATAAAATAACAGTTATTATAGTGAAATGATTGAATACAGTGAGGGTTAATTATTGGTAGCATAGCTCAAAGTCTCTTATTTTGACCCTAACCTTAAGAAGGAAGTTGGCATAATGACATCAGTGAGGAATTTTTACAGAAGCGATAGATCTGCCATTTTATTTAAAAACTGTATATGAAAAAAACTAATCCAAGAAATTACAAGAAGTATTTTAAACATCCAAAGAACTTCAGGCTTCCCAGCAAAGATCAGTGTTATGACTTCACAATCAGAAAGACACTGGGCAAATTAAACTCTTTAGTAGCAGAACCACTTCCAACCAAGTAAAATGTAAATTGTCTGCCTGGATGGTCATCTGAGAAAATGTATCTTTGGACATAAGAGGACATTTTTGGTCCTATTATGTCGGGTGTAAAGCAAGCACAGCATTCCACAGTCAGAACTCCATACCAACAGTCTAACATGGTGGTGCTGTTCTGTTGGTCTAAAGATGCATTGCTGCCTCAAGTTTTGAATCATTTGCCATAAATGAAGTAGCTACTAATCTTGCTTTGTATGAGAAAGTTCCTAGGGAACTGCCTGGTCATTCATATGTAAATTGAAAATAAAACATAGTTGGATCATGCAGCAGGCCAGTGATCCAAAAAGAGCAATTGTACATTAAAATGGTTGAAAAGAAGCAAAACTGGAGCTTAGGATATGCTAGTCAGTCAGGCTTAAATCTAACAGAAACTATAATGAGCTGGTTCCTGCACTTCCTCTTAATCTTGCACTTAGTGCTGGCAGATGTACTCTTCCAAAATATGTTCTTACATGATCTACTAGCAAATATCTAGTATGTGGGAATTCTGCCACAAACCTTTCATATCTTACAGGCCATGAGTTAAAACTGGGGATGGAACCATTGTTTTTAAATTACAGCAACAGTGTAAGGAACCATGTTCTAAAATGTCTTCCCAGGGATGTAAAAGAGTAATACTGAATAATAGGACGCATTTGGATGCAATCAATGCAGGTAAAGGTTCTGCAACCAAATAAGTTTAAGGGGATGAATTGCTTTTACAATTAACTGCAGTTGATGTGGATGTCATGTAATTGTGAATAAAATACATGGATTAAAAAAAAAAGTATAAACATTCAGTGTCCAAAATTTGCAATAACAGAGAAAAAAACAGATTAGCCCAGATACTTGTTATGGCTACATTTCATCCATTTATTTCTTTAAGTAAATCTGTGGTCATGTTATAAATATATTATGGACATTTAGGGTTCATTTACACCTAGGTCTCCTGGTGCTAACATGAGTTGCATTAAAGAAACCCATTAAAATGGGCTGCCAAAAATCAAATATGAACCATTATTTGCAAAGCAGTGCACCACAACTATTAGGGTGCCATTGAAAATAATTGGCACCACGATGCACTGATGCATGTACTGTGTGGTAATGTGTGTGCCAACTTGTGTACATTGGCCGTTACAAACATCAGAACCTCCACCACCAGCATTCACTTTCTGATTCATGGCAATGTGCCTTGGTACCCCGGAATAGCTCCAGTAAGGCAAAGGAGACCATTTTACCATGGATGCTGGCTCTGGCCTGCATCCCCCTGCACCTTGCTTTTGTTTAAATAGGCTGTCCATCATGATGATGGACCATAATTGTAGCATGGACAGTGGGAGATGCAGGTGGGAGCCAACAACCGTTAGTGTTGGTCTCACTTAACCTTTCTTGAAGTCAGAGACGTCTGATCAGAAAGAGCATGCCTGGTATCTGAAGGTGTGAACTATACTTTGTGTGTGTTTAATGTGTTTTATGTGTTTGCAGATTCACTTTAGCTTGTGGTTTCCTTCATTAGAATTACAGATAACATATATTTTGCTCTCAGATTCAAGACTCGAGCTGATTCTCACTATCATACAAAGCATAATTGTGTGGAACGTAGATAGGCTTTTTAAAAGTATTTCTTTTTTACTGTAGGTAACTTGAAGATAAAGTCTCTGACTTCAAATAGACTACACACATATTTTTTTAAATAAAGACAATAATAGATTAGACATTTAACCCCTGGTTTATATAGCTGTGCTCTGTTAACACACATATTGCTACAGCAATGAGTATATTACATGCGCTTTTCATTATAGACCTCACTTAACCTATTGGCACAAAGCCTTATTGTTTAATATCTTTCCCTGAGATTACTAATAGACTTGTTTCAGACCTGCACACTTCACTGCCTTAAATGTAGCTAGTAATATGAAAGCAATAGAAACTATTGGTTGTTATTCATTCATCCATTAAGGTCTTGGTGACCATCTTTTTCCCAGCATTTGGTCTTAAACCAGAGTGTTAAATATTTATTGCCAACATAATTAACAATGTAGAAGACATGGAGTATTTCTATCCTGCAAGACCTTGTAAATTTAAGTGTCCTCAAGGTCTTGGAAATAAAGAAAATCCTTCCCTTCATGTTTTGCTTTTTTCCAGGTATTGTCAGTTATTATAAATGATAATACTGCAACTCTGCCAAAAGTCTTTGAACCTTTGTAACTCTGCAAATTTTGAACCTGGTTTCACTAATGAAAAACAAAAGAGTTTTACTACAGTTATTATAATACATTTGACTTCAGTAAGACTACTTGTCCTCTGCTGCCTGTATGGGAATACTGGCATTAAAGCACACCTAAATATTAAATACAATTAGAGTAACAAGCCAACATGCTTTCAAAGAAACCCATGGCCTTGTGGACTCTTGTTATATCATTAAATATTTAACAAAATGATAACTTAGGAAACCACAGAATGATGAAAATATCAGGTAATAATAACATGCTAGTTTTTTCAGAATTTGTGTACCTATTTTAGTGCAATTGTTAGTTCCATGTATTTTACAAATTTGAGAGTCTAGTCCTCTGCTCTCCTAAGATACTCCAATAAATAAGAGGGAAGATACACTTCTAAATCTTCATTTTTATTGGAAAGTGTTTTTTTCTTTGTGGAGCAGACACTGAATTCCAGTCAAAGATTCTTTAGCATTTGCATGCATGTTTTGATCTACTGTCTAACAAATAATTTTAAGTTCTGACTGTTTTCATCTGCAAAGCTTAAATGGAAATACTAACCTATTTTAAAGCCAATGAAAACAATAAATTGTGTTGTTCTGCTGTGCCGCAATGATGTATAAATCTAGATGGAAACTTAACTTAGCCAGTTTGCATGCATTTTGTTTCAGCAAAGTGTTTCTGTATGCTGTATGATGGCATGGATGTGCATTTAATTATCCTAAGCTGCCAGTCATAACACTCATGACACAATTATTAATACCGGCAGATAAGCTGAATTGTGAAATTGCATGATTGGGAGGGGGGTGATAAAACTTATAAACTAAAACACATTTTTATTTGGTATTGACATATTGCTATGTACATAAACATTTGTGTATTTATACATATTTTACAGTTCAGTTAATGATATTATGGTGTTTTTAGGATGTGGTACATCACTGACCCCCTTTTAGTTATCGTTTATGTTTTCCAATATCCTTAATGACCCTCTTAGCTTTCCAGGATAATGTTGACCCCCTCAGATATGTCATCCTCACTCCCTTTAGACTAGTTGTCAAACAGTAATTTAAGTTCACTGTTTCCTTTACTACCAAGTGTTACAGTGCATTTTGATCAAGACAAATCCCATACTTATGGATATCTTTTATTTTGCAATGTCTTTGTTTTAGAAATGTTTTCTTTTATTTTAATTGACATTTGACTGGAAAACATGCCCATTAAAATTACAGGCTAAAATTTCATAAACATTAAACTATATTTAATTGTAATAGTTTGCTTGCCAGTTTCATTCACTTACATTTTAGCACCACCAAGGGAACAGACACTGTAGTCTTTTGGAAGTGATGTGTTCAAACTTTCACCAATTAATTCATTTTTTTTTAAGTTAATTATGTAGTTAAAAAGTTTTTTACTCAAGTCAGAACTAAGAGATTATACAGGCTAATGAAACATACCTGTAACAATGTCTGCACTAGTATCATAAGCCTACATACATGTTTTTACACGGCTGACTTTTTTTTTTATTATATAGCACCATTATTCAGACATATCCACAGTGCATGTTTTCCAACTGGCTTCACAAAATCACGGGTGTAATAACTAGTAAAATACATCTTTGTTGTGAGCTGAAAGTGTGGAAAATATTAAATGTAGTTTCCACATTTTATAAATAGGGTCTTTTGTGTTTTCCCCCATCCCCCATGTCAACATATTAGCACTTATAAATGTGCCGTTTCTCTCAACTTTATTTGTACTACTGGGGAAATTTGAGAAGGGAAGGAGACGCTTTTGTTGGCATGACTTGGGATAAGAATTGCTGAGGCTTATGCAGTAATGCAGTACAAAATGCATTCATATGCAAGATGCCGTAATCTACAACAACCATTCAGATTTTGATAGTCATTTCAGTGAAAGAATACATTCTGAATGCTTGATGCGGGTTACTTATTATACTTTGCACTGCATTTATAAATAAGCCTGTTAATGTTACCATAGTTTTGATTGTGCATATTTCTGAAGTCTAAACAGATATGCATCAGTAAAACTATTGAGTACGCATTATTGATTGAATTACCAGATGATACATTTTTATGTAAGAGCATCTCTTACTGTATGTTAAATGTTTTAAAAAAAAATCCAGCCAACATTTGTGGTCCCTTTAACACCTGTCCCACTTTATATATTACTGTAGCACACGTGTTGACTCATACCTGCTTCTAATGTTCAATGCAGTCACGGTTTATAAAACTTAACCATTTCTAACATAGCATCAAAATTGAATGTATTTCTGCTTAGTGCAGTAATTATAGGCCGGTGCAAGCCTGTTTTAAGTGTTTTATTTAACACAGAACCCAAACGCAGACCAACTAATCCTGTTTTGAATAATAACTAGAGTTTTGCCAGCCTCTTTTTTTTTATGGGTAAAAGCACTCTACATACTTTACAGTGTTTTATATCCTTTTTGCACAATCTCCATACAGTTTTCCTGTCTTAGCAGTTGCTGCATTTTCTTGTACAGTGTCAGTTCAATCACTAACCCTTTGAACCTGGTCGAATTCCTTTTCCGATTATCATGTCACCATAGTAACCTTAAAAATCTCATCTAGTTGGCTTGTACTATCAAATGGGAAGCATTACCATCCAGCTGGCAGCAGTACTAAGGTAAATTACCCTCTCTCACCCCTCAAAACTTGTCTCATTTCATACCTCACCTACTGGAAAAGCTCTCTGTGCTTTAAAGCTTGACTAGTGTGACCTCTGTGCTGCTCAGATGAAAGCCTAGTCTTCAGCTTGCAGTTTCACTCTGCTAATATTTCTCTGCAGGGCCATTACAATGCACAGATGAGGGAAGATTGGCAGCTTTTCTTAGTGGTTTTTTTTACTTGTAGTTAATTTTTTTTATTCTAGGACATGCTAAGCAATCCGTGGCTTCCCAGCTGTTGTGCTAAAACTCACAGCAGCAGCTACAGGTTGCCTAACTCTATTGACTAAACCCATAGAGATGTTAATTTTCTTTACCACATGCACCATTGGCACAGCTGCGCTGTGCAGAGTATAACGTTAATAAATGGACTCTGTGGATCAGCAGCTTTATGTATGAAAATGCACATTCATGCCAGCCCTTCAATATCAAGATGAACTGCATAGAACTGTACTGTTGAATAGGGCACTGACAAACTCAACAATTGTACACTTTTAGGGGCCTTTGATTGCAACGGCTTTTACAAATGGATACCATTGAAACGTTTCAGGTGGTTGGTTGCCATCTCACTTTGAGGTATTCTCATTTCTACCATTGTATTTTATAGAAGTATATTCATGTAATCTGCTATCTCCTTTTTATCACCTCATAACCATGTCACCTTTATAACCTTTTACTGTCTAACACCTGTCTCACTTTTCTTATTACCATAGCACCTATCTATTGAATTATGCCTGCTTTTACTGTACAGTGCAATCAGCCTTTTCTACTGTACAGACAACTTGACTTTACTATACAATCAGCACTGAATCTGATTCTCTGGGAAGTTGAAGGACTGTTTTTATCAGAACATAAAAACTGATCGTTTTATTACAGAAAAGCGGTATACCACAGGGAAAGTATCTAGAAGATAGAAGTTTGTAGAAGTCGGTGCTGCCCATTATAACCAATCAAATTCTAATTTTTATTTTCTAACCCACTATTTAAAAGTATAAGCTAGGATGTGATGGGGCAGCACAGGCATGTATCCTAGGATGTGATGGGGCAGCACAGGCATGTATGTAAGTCATTTTTTACATAAAGTCCCTTATTGTATATATATATATATATAATTACTCTGGTAAATGTTTATTTTGGTTTTGTGTCAGTGTGTTTGCAGCATTTGTTCTACAGACAGTTTGCATTACTCAATGTTTAATAACTGTAAAGCTGGAAACTGTTGTAAACACTATATTATCATGCTGTGTAGGAACAATATATTCTGAAGTGTACATATGAAGAGCAGTAGCTATGCACATACACCATTAGGAACAATACACCTATAACAGTAAATAGCAGTTTTGTTGCAACTAACTAGATAAGAGTTACATAGAATTGAGGCCATATGGTCTGCATGCAGCCATTATGATTAGGGTCCCGTTAATAAAAGAACCAAAAGTTCACCCACATAAATCCCTCTAGCACAGGAGGCCCACCAAGGCATTTGGCAAAAAAGACAAAAAATTATCCAATATCCTTGGCATTTCGTGCTCTAGAAAATCATGAAACCCATAACTTTAAGGAGAATCTCCTTCCGTTCCAGCATGATGTGCTATTTATTTTAAATGTCAACATGAAATTGATGTCTTTAAATTGTCCCTCTGGGGTACACTTAAGCATGTATTTGCTAATCTTTGTTGTGTTTAAGACAAGTAAAGCTTGTCTGAATTATTTTCCATGCACTTTTGTTCTCACCTATGTCAACTTTGTGCATCATATTGCTCACATTGTTCTTTTTTTTAGCGCTGATAAGTTAAAGTTTATCTAAACACAAAAATGGAATTCCTTTGCAAATTAAAAGTCCTTAAATGTGGTGGTTGCATTAGTTCCCTTTTTTCAGGCTAAGAACATATTTAGCAAGTACAGAAAATACCTGCTGATCTTGCCAGAATGTAATGTCAACACTTTCAGCTGAAAAGACATCAAAAACAATGTTTTGTTCTCTTTTGTAAACTGCTAGTTTATGAGTCCACCATGTAGAGTAAAAGAAATAAACAAAGTCAGACAAAGTCCAACCTTTGTGACATACCATACCATTGAGTAGTATGTGTAGACACAAAGTTATTCTAAACATTATCAGGTTAAAATAATGGGTAAAAAGCCTAAAAAATAGAAAGCTAATGCAACCACTTCATCTAAGGACTTGTGAGCTGCGATACATTACATTCTGTTTTTGTATTTAGATAAACTACAGAATGTGTTTATATTGATCTGTATGTTAGAATTCATTAGAGTAGATTGTGCAAAAAAATGTAAACACTAGCTACTAGTTCATTTTAAACACTGGTATTAAGCAAATATATTAATGTTGGTTAGAGTAACCAGTCAACTGTTAAGAGAGTGTCTTTTGTCTAAACATTTTGGTGCTGAATAGTGTTCCTTTTTTCTTTCTCTGAAAAATGGGAAGTATGCACAGTTAGTAAACATTCTGCATGGTGCAAGACAAGTCTTTAAACAGTAGAGGCTCCTAGTCCAAAACACATGTGTTTCCTCTACAGCCTGATACCCATCACAAGAGTGAGAATATATTCTTTGCGGATATGTACATTGAGGGGGAAATTACTAGGCATTAGTGGGAGCGTAGCTTTGTAGTAGTGTTTATTGTGGTAGCATTTTGTAGAGAGTTATGATGCTGGGTCTTGTTTGACCTTGTTTTGATGCTACTCCTTCCTCTGTCCCAGCTGCCAGTAAAATACCTGGTGATGTCGCCTCCTCTGCACAAAGGATGTGACACTGCTCGGGCTTTGTGAGTGGCCACTAGGTTAAAGCACTGTGTAATGGAAGGAGATCACATGTTCCTCTATACCTGGAAGCACAATCTATTTTGCACCAGCTGCTACAAAGTAAGGAGCATTGGGAAATTGTAGGTAGCGCTGAGCAGGTGAGTATCAGTAGGCTGGGAGGGCAGCTCATAATGGACACATTCTCTTTGCCTGAATGGGCAAAGTGACAGTGTCTCGTAAAAAAAATACACCCATTTTAGTGTAGGTGTGAGGTATAGACATTACTACTGTACTGCACAATTATAGGTGGTACTAACACAAAGCAAAGGTTATAAATGATTTGTACAACAGATTAAAATTTCAGTAACACAGAGTCAAGTGAGCATTTTAATGACCTGCACTCCTAGTCTCTTTACATAGGAGTTCATGGTAAGTTCAACAGTGACAATGGTAGGTTGTAAAGTGTGTGTTGTAAAGTAGCCACTGCTCCAAGCTCACTCCGTGATGGACCACAATCTCAATATAAATTTCTGTTTCTGAATGCCTGTGCCCCTGAAGTGTATTTTCACTTTTACAGTAAAATTTGAGAAAACCCCACTACAGACACTCCGTTTACGATGGTGTTACTTTACCCATTAAGCAGAGGAGTGTACTGTACTCCTGCGGTCAGCAGCAGACAATGGGGAGCAATGACCAGACTGTTATTGGCTATTTTAAATTGCAATAGCCAATAGCAGGCTGGCTATTGCACCTGCTCACTAAGCAGATTAGCAGACCTGAGAAAGAACTTTCTGTCTCAGGTCCACTCCTCTTAGTGGACCTGAGCCTGCTATTGGCTATTGCAATTAGCATTTCCTGAAGTTTACATTCACCTGCTTGCTGTGGACGCTAGCCGTCAGGTGAATGGGTAAGCAGAGTGCCTTGGGGATGGTTTCTTGAGAGTTACTATTAACTCTCAAGCAACCAGAAACAACAGTAATCCAGCACCTACCGATCCCCATGGGTGCCGAATAACTTGGAGTTTAATGTACAGTAAACTCCATCGTAAATGCAAAAAATGGTAAGTCAATCGTTCACAACCAGAGGAGCATCTGTATATGTTTACGTATTGCACTGGATGCCAGCACAGGTCACCGCATGGCAGAGCAGTGCACCACACTGCTGTGCGGGGACCTCAATGGAGTGTACAAATTGTACACTACCAAAAAATTAAAAAAAATGTAAACAGTGACAGCTACAGTAGTTTGCAGTACAACGCACACTATCTGAGCTGCCACGAGGCACTAGCTCATCTGGTAAAATGCAGCATTTTAGTGGACTGACAAGTGTGAATGAGCCGTAAAGGTTGACATGGAGTCCCACAATTTTGCGCCCAAACCTAACATTCTGTATTTAAAGACCATATCCCTTACTTGACATCGACATTTTAGTTTGTCGATGTGTGTAATAGCCACTGCAGTTGGGTAGAACTGTGTACATTGAAAGGAATACCTCACTAGTGAAGTCCCTTATAGTGAGAAGCCAACATGTCATTTTACCTAGCTACTATGCAAAACTAAAAAAACAAAATAGTTTAGGGAAAAGTGCCCTTTAAACAGTAAATGCTGTTTACATGCCTGCAATTTAATACATGCAGTGCCGTCCGTCCGTTTTTTTACTACGGGCGGACGGCAAGAGGTTAATGTAGGATTGTATAAACAGCTCATTAATTAGATATATCAGCAATGATCAATGTTTTCCTGAATTGCATGGCAATAACTCTTTGGTTTTTCATTGGTTTTCTTACAGTAAATGGCTTTCATATCATATACTTCCTATTTGCCCACAAGGCTTCTTTGTATCAAGAAAAAGACCACATTGAACCTGTGATTGTTTAAATTATTTTCATATCCTAATAAACACTGCACTTTTCTGAACAAAGCCTGACAGCTTAGTTCTTAGACTCAGTGAATACCACAATGAATAATAAAGTCATATGCCAATATTTCTTTCATAAGATGACATTCACCTACTAATAATTATGGAACAATTATGCGAAATTAAAAAATTATTTAAACGATACAAAATCCAATTTAACACATCACCTTAGCATTCTGTATCTGGAACACTGCCAGCTTTCTAACCTTTTCTCTAGGTTATTTTGGATGAGTCTTTTTGTTCTTTGCCATTTCTGTTGGACTCCTTCTTGCATTTACTGATTCAAGTTATGCTCCTAAACTCATAATTTGTTAATTCCATATGTTACCATTATTTACATGCTGCTAAATTCAGGGTTAAAGGGTCAGTCCAGTCAAGGTAACATTTTATCTTTGGAAAGGTGCTGGCATTTTGAATAGTTTCCGGGAAAATGAACCCTATTGGTGAAATCTCTGCACTTGAGTTCCCATACCTGGCCAATCATTAAGACCATTACAAGCAGGTCTTGCTTACCTTTTTTCACATTTTTATATTCCACTGAAGAAGTCTATGATTGATGGCAAGGTTTTCATCATGCCATAACACAAATCTTAATTGTGGATGGACCTTGTTAAGTTTCTGTAATGCACAGGTAATAGTTTCTTTATAGGACTACATTGTTAAATGTTCATATCTTTATAAAGATTGATGTCACAGATTAAAATAGAACTATGATCAAATGATACAATTGAATATGTGATGTAGGCCGCACATAACAGTAAGACTGGGTTCACTGGTTTCTTATTACCTCTGGAACATATTGTAAATATTTGTTGGTCCTGACAGTAGAACTTTTGGATAGACAGTGCCTTTGAAAGGGTGGCAATGTTATATCTCCTCCAGTGAAATCACTGCAGC